GGCATTCAGTCTTTCTGTCCTTATGGAATGTATGGTCTAATGGAGGTGATAATACATTGGAATAAATACACTAATGGCATCAAACACAGTTGCTCTGTGCACCAGGAGGGACAGAGCTGAGATGTGTAAAGTCAAGAAAAGCTCCCTAGAGGAAGTGATGTGGAAGTTGAGATGAATTCATTGAGCAGTAAAGACTGAACATTTCTTTAGCTATGTAAATATTAACAAACGTATTGTTAATGGTGTTGCTGATGATTTTGAAGATCATCTCTCTTTATGCCATCAACATATGCATAGAGAAATTGAAAGAGATTGCTTTTCTTTGCTGTCCTCAAGCTGCCATCTTGTGAAAAGAAAGCAGCCCCAAACCTTCCTTCTGTTTGTTAGTCTCAGTTCAAAAACTGTCCAAATGAATACAGATGTGGAGTTTCATATTCTTAGTAGGGAAGATTGGCTATGGAAAATTATCTTAGAAATAGTCAGAGGAGTCCATAAAAAGCACCATTTTTAAAGAAACAGGCACTGGCTGTTAAGGGGATAAAGGACTGGATGCTGTAAAAACCTAGCTGTTTTAGGCATTTCATCATACAAGGAAACAGGCGGCTTATTCCCATTTTTGGATACACTAATACCTGCTGTGCTGAAATTAAACATTGCATGAAACAGGTATTTAGAATGCCCATCAGAAAAAAGATTAAAAACAGTAAATCTCAGGCCCATGAGGCCCAGACGAAACCTGGCAAGCAGCCTATTCTGCAAAAGACTCCCTACTTTTGAAGACAGCAAACTTCAGCCTGGCCAGGCAAGACCACGTACAAACAACGTAAAAGAATCTTTTCATTTGTATAAAGGGTACTGATGCCTCAATTGTTTCTCAGCTAAGGCAAAATTTATTCCCAAATGAGAGAACTTAATCTCCAGAGACAAGAGTGTGAAAAACTTACCAAAGGGAATAATGTGCAAGGAGAATACTTCTTGGGAGGATGCAGGGGAAGTCCACATGGAGATGCCTGAAGGAGCTGGTCTGCATGTGGAACAGACTATCTCCATCTCTCAAAGTGTGTGCTTCTGTGATCCCACCACCTTCACTGATTTCACCACAACAAGAGTTGATTTTCCTCCAAGTAAACAGCAAAACAAATATTAGTTTGTGATTCTGCTTAACAAGTCTGAAAATGCATGAGAAAGGCAAACATAATTTAAAGTTGGCATTAGAAAGCTAAGGGTATATAATTTGGAACAGATGATATTTTTGTGCACATTGTCAAGTTGTAGTTTATCTTTGACTTTTATGTGTGTTTTCCCTTTTGGGTGTATTTTTATCCAATACTGTTCCAGATTTATATATGTAATATAACCTAGAGAATGATGTACAGTATGCAATACTGGTATTGTTGTTACAATCCATTTACAATAATAAAAAGTTAAAAAGACAAAATGTAATGGTAATAGTAAACAAAAGAAATCAATGCTTTTCCAGTTTCTCATTTCTAACTTTTCATTCTTTAGCATTTCCTCTAGTGAGTATCAGTTGACTGTTTTAAACCCTTTCTCTTTTTACCTTCCCTTCCATCTATTCTCCTTGACATTCAATTCTTCTAGAACCCTAACTCTCCAAACATTTCTTCTTGTTTTCATATTTATAAGCTTTAAAATTATAATGTTTTTCATTTTTAAATATTCAATTTTCCATATTTTTCTTGTCATTACCTTTAGTTTTTTTCTCTCCATTTTCAGTGTTTTTGAAGCATCATTTTTTGTCTCCACACTTTCTTCCCCCTTCTCATACTCTTTCTTTCTCTAGTTTCTACCTCAACTTGTCTCTTCCGTTTTTGAAGCATCATTTTTTGTCTCCACACTTTCTTCTCCCTTCTCATATTCCTTTCTTTCTCTAGCTTCTACTACCTCAACTTGTCTCTTCTCTTTACCTGTTTCACTCTTCAATTATGCCTTTTTCTCTAGTTTTTCATCAGCTTCTTCCCCCCTCCCTTATTCCTTTTGTTTATCTCTACTTCTTTCTCTGTTTTTTTTTGCCTTAAAATGTATTCCATTGTAAGTGCTACAAGTATGAAATTGGTTTTCTTTGAAATACTGAGAGCACAAAAATGTATAAGGAAATAAATCATTCATAGAAATAATATTATATCAGAAACAAGTATGTTCTGCAATATTAGAACAAGCTTTAGAATTGTACTGATCATAACCTTTTATAAGTTTATAGATACTAGATCACTGAACTGAAGGAGCTTTTAGCTTATAAATATGTCATTTTATCCCAATCTATACATATCTAAGAAGGTTATTAGAACCTATCAACTACATATTGTAAACTCACCAAATTTACTTGTACTCATAGAATGTTATGCTTTGGAAATTTGTAGGTTTTCTGCTTGGGCTGCTAATGGCCTTCTGGCCTTAAAACATCATAGGCACATATCACAGGCAGCTACTTGTTAGAGTTGAGAAAGTAGCTCAGATCCAAAGAATGGGCATTGGAAACACTTGATATTAACCTTGCGGACTAAAGTCAGGCCCCACTCAAAGAATTTGTAGAAGAATTGAGCAAATTGCTCCCTTCATTTGAGGTGTGGCGGTGAGAAAAATCAAGAAGCTACTAATGTTAATTGCAATGTTTTAAAAGTAAAATAAAGAAATCCTAGTAGGTTGAACAGAGATTGCTAAATCAAAAGGGAATTACCAGGTACTTTTGTCATGTTTTTCTAAATTTAGGTTGATAGGTCTACTGTATTGACTCCTTTTAAAATTTGTTCTTTTTACGAGGGAGAAATAAGTTGGGAAGTGTGCCTTCATTTCCTACAGAGCATTTAGAATGTGTGTGTGTGTGAATGAAGTTTACTTTAAGGACTCAAACTCCTGTGGCTTCTGACAACCTCTTAGTTTATAAATCAGTGTTAAAGAACTAGTGAGTGGTCTAGATTGCAAATGCCTTGAGGATAGAGACCACAGTCCTCTCACTAATTCTTAGGAGTGGGGCTCAGACCTCTGGTATTTAATCCATCAGTAGCTTTCACTAGGTTAGGCTCTCACCGCTCAGGCTTGTTTCTCACTTGGCTTTGGCTCTGTTCTGCTCCATATGACATTTTCATTTCAGAATCTAGGATCAGAAGTAGCAGGAACCCTCTGGAATATGCCATTTTTTTCTGGCAGAGACAAAAAATACAGGAGAGAGATAGAGAAAACATATGTAATGATCCTTAAAGATTTTACTCAGAACAGGTGTACCAGACATTCACTCTCATTTCATTGGCAAAAGCTAATCATATGATCAAGCCTAATGCTTCTCCCAAGGAAGGTGGTGTAAGTCACATAGCAACAGAATATTCTTACAGGGAAAGGAAAGTAAATAACTGTCAACAATGATATGATTTCCATACATAATAAATTCTATTGAATTGAATCATAATCAGAAGCAGTTAATGCCCACTATATTCTATTGAAAGTTTTATGATTTTTTTCTTTACTTATCTTCCTTAGCAAGATCCTCCACTTACAAGAGGAGTTGAATAATATCATCAGACTGAGTGCTTAGTAGTGATTCAACAGGCATATAGGATTGAGAAATGGTTAAACAATAAAGATAATATGACACAGGAAGAATTATAGAATTATTATATATTTTTAAGAACTGGGGAAAGATGTTTGGTGGAGTACTCAGGTCAGAAATTGCTCTATTCCCACTCAAATACAGAGGAATTTTTAAAAGTTCCCTTCATTACAACCACCATAGAGGGAAGGAACCATGTGATTTCATAGACTGTTAACCCTGACAAATATGCACCACTCTTTGCACGGGTAGCTGCGGCAGCTCATCAAAGCATATTGTTATAGCCAAATGTGGTTGAAAAAGACCCAGGACCCAAAAGTCTGAACTTTCTCTGGCTTCCCTAACAAGGACACTTTATAGCCCAGGTTCCTGTCCTTCCTGGCCCCAGCACAGTTCCTGAATGTGTTTGTTCTTAGATTACTTTTCCTTCTCCACCAGACTGCGTGAGGGCTGGGGCCCCGACACAAAGTAGGTGCTCAGTAAGTATTTGTTAAATGAATCAATAAATGTTGAGCAGTTGCTGACAGAGAGGCTGAGAATTCTCTACAATTAGCGTATCAGTCTAGATAAAAGGAAATGATTGACTTGGTTTAAACTCCTGTGGACTGTACACTAGCCTAAGTGATATTGCAATAGACTGAAACCTGACATACCAGGCAAATGAGCATAAATTTTATTCAGCTTCCAAATACAAGGAAACTTTCCTTTATCCCAGGTCCATATTGTGGTTTGATTTGTATCTTAATTGTAGCCAGTTGTCAATGGCCATATCTATATTGAAATTATTTAGCTTAATCTGTATATTTCATTGCATAACCTGTAATTAGACATTCTAAATAATTTCCATTTTTATTACATTTTTAAATAAATTTAAAAGAAATCTTTTCTGGCTAAGAAGTTCTAAAATGGATGGCGCTAAACGGACCTTCATCATGTATCCAGGTTGTCAGAGAAGAAAGATCATAAGGAACATAATACCCCTCCCAGAGCAAGGCCTGAGCCCCTTCAGGTGGTCCCCCACCACACAAAAACCTTGCACACAATAAGCACCCAATAAATATGTGCTGAATTAAATGGGAAAGTTAGAGACAGGTCATGGTGATCAGATAGAAAGGCTAACTCACATCCGGTCCCAGAAATCCCAAGACTGATCACCAGCTAAATATGTCTGAGCAATTCATTAAAAACCAGGGGAAATGCAGGAGAGCATTTCTTCCTTACCCCATTTACTCTATGGGAAATATAAATGAAATAGATCATTTACATAACGGCATAATGTGCCTAGATATAACAGATTATTTGCATAACTGCATAATGCCACTAATCAGGAAAAAGCCTTAAATATTTCTGGGCTATGAACATACTGAATTATATAAGGTATGCATATCAACCAATAATCAAAGCCTTCTCTTTTTTGTAACTTGTATCCCAACAGGGAGAAACAAATCTACTACAGCAATGAATGAACCTCCCAGCACCATTAAATGAGGAGGAGAATGCTTGTGAGACAGAAGACTGCAGGATCTGGGTTCAATGTCCCCAAACCCACGTAATTTTCCAGCATCAGGAGCAACTGATAAGGAACTGTACTCATTGGAGCACAAGTACAAGGCCATTTGCAAATGATTTTAGAGTGAATAATGAGGAAGGAAGGACAAGGCTATTCTCTTAGGTATCAAATGTCTTAACTTTCTTGTTAACAATGATAGCACTTGGAGGCTCTAGCAGGATGAGGGAAGAGAGGAAAGGCAGCATGGTTTAGTGGGCTGTAAGAATCTTTTCTTTCAGAGTAGCTATGCCAGGTTATGTGTTTTTTACCTTAGTGCAAAAGTTCTTTAGTGTGTACAACTCTGCTGAGTTCATTATATTTTTTAATGTACCTCAGACTCATTTGAGATCCTGATTTCCCAGTACAAACTAGAGTAACAAATATATAATTATTCTCATAAATAACTCAGCACCTTATATTTCAAACAAGTTTTCCCAGAAGGCACAAGTGCCCTATATTAAATTCTTTTAAGTGTAAGTTGATTAAGGTAAAAATTAGTTGTTATTACCTTATGGACATTTTAGTTTTAGCAGCAATTCAAAGCCAGGTCTATCACAAGTAGATTTGTTGCCGCCCACAGGTATAATCATCAGGAAAATTAATAATCATGTTCAGTGTGACTATAAATCATTGTGGTTTAGGCAATTAATTTCTGTAGAAAAATGAAAGATCTATAAGTATTATTACTGTGCAAACTACATGTTGTGAAAACCCAGATCCAACACAGTCAAATTGCAAATGCAGGGTTTCTAATTTCAGAGTGTGATAATGTGGGGGTCATCAGAGGCAGGGAAGTTGACGATTCTGAATAAATAATGTGGTAATTTTTTTGCAGTTTATGACTGTAGCTTTCAGTGCATATAGTGTACAGAATCTCTAAACCAGATGCAATAGAAAGAGTTGGTAAATTTTAGTAAAGGCAGAGAAAGAGACAAGAAGAAAATGCACATGGGGGTACTTGAAAGAGCCCACCCTCAAGGCTGGGCAAATATGCTGAGATCCTCAGTGTGAGGCACACCGCTGGCAGACTTGCTTCCACAAGACTTTTATTCTGGCTCCTCTGTTCAGTGTGCAAAGTCAAATGAGGAAAACAAAGGCCTCTCATAAAAAGATAATACTCATTTGCGAATACTAATGTTGTACCAGTCTCCTGGGCACTTATTATCTCATTTAATTCTCATTACTACTTTATAAAGTGTGTATGATTATCTACATTAACAGATGAGAAAAGAAACTCCAAATGGTTAAATAAATTGTTCAAGGACAGAAAGCTGGGGGATGGTGGAGTCAGGAAACCCATCTAAGCTGACCTCCAAAGTCTATGGCCTTCTGCTCTAATGTCATTCTCTGCTTTTATTCCTTAACTTTTCCTCTTTTTCTTTCTTTCTCTTGCACACTTATAGTACTATTATGTGACTTCCTTTGTCATATTTTTCTCTATATTTTTATGCCTTTCCCTTGTTGATGTTTGAGGTTTCCTACTGATGCCTCAGAGTGTTTCTTAGACAATTAAATGGTGTCTCAGCTCAAAAGATTGCTGCCCCTTTGTGTAATGGTGACATTGGTAGGTGTGAGGATTTGAAGAACAGTATATATATTTTTTTTATAGTTGTAGGTATTCTTTTTCCAAGCCTAACTTAGTCTGTATATCCTTTGTCCCATTCCATCCTAATTTAGTACAATTTCTTTCGTAACAAATACTACATCTTTTTTTTTGTTTGGTTGTATCCTGTGTTTTCTAACATAAGTTATGTCCTACTTCATGGTTTAAAGAAACCATACAGATAATATAAAGATCAAAAAAGAAATGGAGAAAGAAAGAAAGGAAGGAAGAATAAAGAGAACAGGAAGGAGAAAGAAAAAAGAAAAAAAAGGTTGCAGAATTACTGTTCATATTAAAAAAGACTTGTCACATTTTGCAAGATTCACCATAGTTTTCTTTAAATAACAAATTAATTCAAAATGGTGACTGCTATTTGATTTGTGCAACTTTTTGGAAAATCACTCATTACATTAAATGTGCCACCTCTATAATTAGTTCAGCAATACCTCATTTTATAGAACACAATTTATGGTTAACAATGTAATTTTACCAACCCAACTCATTTGACTCTCAGAAAAACTACATGGGTTTGTAATACAGCTTGTTATCTGGTATTGAGATCCTTCCTACTTTGTTCTTATTTCTCAGGATTGTTGCAGCTATTCGGGGTTTTTTTTTATTCCAGATGAATTTTTGGAGAGTTTGTTCTAGGTCTGTGAAATATGCTGTTGGTATTTCAATGGGGAGTGCATTGAATCTATAGATTGCTTTGGATAGTATGGATATTTTAATGATGTTGATTCTACCAATCCATGAACACTGTATGTTCTTCCCTTTATGTCTTCCTCTATCTCTTTTTTCAGTGTCCTGTGTTTTTCGCATATAAGTCTTTTACCTCCTTAGTTAAGTTTATTCCTAGGTATCTTAATTTTTTTGGTGTGATGGTAAATGAAATTGTTTATTTAATCTCTCTTTCTGTAAGTTCACTATTTGGTGTATAAAAAATGCCACAGAGCCCTAACCGGTTTGGCTCAGTGGATAGAGCATCAGCCTGCAGACTGAAAGGTCCCAGATTCGATTCTGGTCAAGGGCATGTACCTTGGTTGTGGGCACATCAGCTGATCAATGTTTCTCTCTCATCGATGTTTCTAACTGTCTATCCCTCTCCCTTCCTCTCTGTAAAATATCAATAAAATATAT